TGCGACGAAATAGGCATCGCAGGTTCGTCGCGACACCCTCGGGATGTCCTCGCTAACAACTTACTACAGTAAGGAATTCTAATTCCTTACACTCTCCCACCTTCCAAATAAGCCCTCCCTGTATGTAGACCGAAGCCTTCCGTAATGAGTACGCCGTTGATCTCCCTTTCAGCTGAATCCGACGGCTGAAATCCCTTGGGCGATATTTTTGAAAAAGTTGGAATGTAGGCCGTTGATGTAGTCAGGTCTCGATCTGACGGTCGAAGATGAAGTGGACCAATTCGAATTGAAGGTTGGAAACAGAGCCGTTGATCGAGCAGATGTTGATCGGACGGTCAGAGCTCGCGTTGACCGCTGATGATTTCAAATGTCAATATGACGGTTGACGGTGACGCGGATGTGGAGGGAACCAGCTGACGCGAATTCAAACGCGATTGAGCAGGAACCGTAGATTGTGTCGGTGCGATCGCAATCGTCCGTCGTGCTGACGCAACCTGACAAAGTCAGAAAAGGACCAAGAAAACGCCAAGGAAGAAAACAGTGCAAAGCACTTTCTCCCCCCCTCCAAGAAAATGGCACCAGAAAAGTTCCCGCTGTCGTGAGAGTAAGCATAAGCAGGAGCCATAGCTAGGAGAACCCTAGCTAGGCAAGAGAAAGTTTAGGCAAAGAGGACTGAACTAGCAGGAATGAGGATACATATAGCAAACCCTAGATGGGTTGTACTCGCTATAGAGCACCCCACTACAGGCTAGAGAATAACATTCTGACACACCCCCATAGCCAAAGTGGGGTGTAATCAGCAGAGGAAACAAAGCAGTACAAGCTCAGGGTGGATCACGATGTCACCACTCATTCTGAGCACAAGCAAGAAGCAATAGTTTAAGGTTCACAATTATGAGCAAAGCTAGAGGCAGTCACAAGGGGTCAAGTGAGGAGGAGGAGGCGAGACTGTAGGTGGAGAGGAGATAAGAGGCGTCGGCTGAAGCTGCAGACACACGGGCAACAGGAGTCAAACTGGCTCAGTGGCTACCGGAACAGCGCCCCGGACTACAGGAGTAACTGGCTCCGCGGCTAAGAAGAGCGGCAGACGAGCAACGGACCCACGGGCGACTGGCGCAGCTGGCTACGACTGGGCTACCGGAACAAGCGCCCCGGACTACAGGTGCTGCTGACGACAAGACGGCAGCCTCCGCTCAACCTCCCCCGACCGTCCCACGCCCCTCTCACACACCCCCTGCTGACACCCTAGCTCCACTTCCACGGCACCCCCCTTAAACCCTAAACCTCGGCTCCCACACATCCACCCCCCTCAGCGGCAGCTGCAGCAGTGGGAGACGGAGGAGGAGGAGGAGCAGGGGACGGCGCACACACACGGCACCCCCAGAGCTGCCACCCCCACACTCCGCACCCCAAAACCCTAAAAACGGGCGGAACGGGGGAAGGAGCGCGGGGGACGGCGAGGGGGACGGCGCTCGGCCCCCAGAACGCGACCACGGGGCAGAGAGGGGCCGCGCGCGGCTCCCCAGGGCGGCGCGACGGGAAATCGGGGCCGCGGGGGGGTCGCGCGCGGCTCCCCAGGGCGGCACGACGGGAAATCGGGGCCGCGGGGGGTCGCGCGCGGCTCCCCAGGGCGGCACGACGGGAAATCGGGGCCGCGGGGGGTCGCGCGCGGCTCCCCAGGGCGGCACGACGGGAAATCGGGGCCGCGGGGGGTCGCGCGCGGCTCCCCAGGGCGGCACGACGGGAAAACGGGGCCGCGGGGGGTCGCGTGCGGCTCCCCAGGGCGACGGGATCGCGGGGCCGCGGGCGACGGGACCGGAGGGCCGCGGGCGACGGGATCGGGGGGCCGCGGGCGTCCCCCACGGTAGGAAACCGCCGTGCGCCTCGGTGCGCACGGCGGGGAGAAAACCGCCGCACGCCCCGAGCGCGCGGCGGGATGAAAATGTGAAGGTCGCGCGCCACGGGGCGCGCGACACTGAGTAGGGCAGCGGAAGCAGCAGTGGGGCCCACAGGCCAGGAGCGTGAAGGCTCTGTTACCATGTCGTGAGAGTAAGCATAAGCAGGAGCCATAGCTAGGAGAACCCTAGCTAGGCAAGAGAAAGTTTAGGCAAAGAGGACTGAACTAGCAGGAATGAGGATACATATAGCAAACCCTAGATGGGTTGTACTCGCTATAGAGCACCCCACTACAGGCTAGAGAATAACATTCTGACACCCGCAGCTGCGCCGAGATGAAAACACACAAAATGCAGGTGTTAAGTCCCACGAAGAAAGCCGTTGAGCGAAGAATGCCGGGTGAAGTTGCGTCGGTGTGGAAATTCTGATGACGATGTCAAACATTGCATGTTTATATTATGTAGGCTGTAGTGGGTTACACCTTAGGGGGTACTCAAAGTTAGGGTTTCCTACTTGTACCAAACTCTGTGCTAGTTCATTCATTCCTGCTCAGTTATTTCTGACATGGTTTCAGAGCAGGTCCTTCGTTAGGACTGTTCTTAGGGCCCACCGACTTACCTACCTGCTTACCTTCGCTTGTTTCCGGCCCCGCTGGCCCCGTCGATCTAGCGGCCCTCCGGCCCCCCCCCTTCGAATTTTTTTCCTAGCGGCCTCTCACGGCCCCCGTCGCGTCGCCCCTTAGCGCCCCGATCGGCCCCGTCACGCCGCCCGCGAACCGCACAGCGCGCCGCGCTCACAGCCCGCGAACCGCCCACGCGCAGCCCGCGAACCGCCTGCGCAGCCCGCGACCAGCCCGCGCAGCCCGCGCACAGCCCGCGAACTGCCCGCGAGCAGCCCGCGACCTGCCCGCGAACCCTTGCGAGCCGCCCGCGACCCGCTTACGCAGCCCGCGAGCAGCCCGCGCAGCCCGCGCTGAGCCTGCGCGGCTCTTGCGCTGACCGCCGCCGGCCCGCACGCTGCCCGCGCAGCTCACATACGGCCCGCACGGCCCGCGCGCTGCCTGCTCCCGGCCCGCCGCTGCTGAGCCCGCAGCCGCCCGCGCACCGCTGCTGCTGAGCCCGCCGCCGCCCGCGCACCGCCGCTGCTGCGCCCGCCGCCGCTCGCGTATCACCGCTGCTGAGCCCGCCCCTGCTGCGCCGGCTCTCGCTGCCGCCTGCTGCGCCTGTGCACCACTGCAGATCCTACTACTACACTTCCTGCTACTGCTGCTTGTGCGCCACTACAGTCCGTAGGCCCCACCGGCCCCGCTGACCCTGCGCACGCCTTTTCAGTGACTTTACTGCTTCTACTACTGCCGCTGTCGCTATGGCTAGTCCTCCTGTTCTAGCTTTCGACGCCGAGGGCCGTCCGGTCAAATTCGAAACCTGGCTAGATGACCTGCACCTTTTCCTACAGCTCACTGCCAAGGAAGATATTACACTGTACGACCACGCTCTCGGCCATGCGACCGCCCCACCCGCTACTGCCCCCCCAGCTGAGCGCTCACAGTGGCAGACCCGTGACGCGCACGCTCGCTTTGCTATTCGCAACTCCCTGCCGCTAGATGAGCGCGAGCACTTCGGCCAGTGCAAGACTGCTAAGGACCTCTACACAGCTGTAGTGGCCCGCTACTCCTCACCCGCTTCTGCCACTCTAGGCCGCCTCACTCTCCCCTACCTGTTCCCCGACCTAGCCTCCTTTCACACTGTCGCAGACCTCATCACCCACCTTAAGACTAGTGAGGCTCGCTTTCGCGCTGCCATGCCTGACGAGTTCCTCGCTAGCAACCCCCCCCCCGCTCTGGATCACTCTCTACCACGTTGTCACCCGCCTCCCTGACTCTCTGCGCCCTGTCAGGGACCAGTTCCTCTCTCGCTCCCCCACTGAGCTCACCGTAGACCTCCTCGAGAAGGAACTGCTTGCAGCCGAGGCTAGTATCGTCGCTGTAGGCACCTCTCGTGGCGACCCCCGCGGCCCCTTCTTTGAGGGGTGCTCCCCTTCCCCCCTCCTCCCCTCTGTCGCCTCTGCTGCTGCTGTCGACCTCCTTGGTGCTGAGAAGGTCGGGGCTGCGTCTGCTTCAGGCGGACGACGCAGGGGCAGGAGTGGCAGGAGTGGGGGTGGTGGCGGAGGAGGCGGAGGTGGAGGTGGTGGCGGTGGAGGTGCGACTGGAGAGGCTAGTGGCGGCAGTGGTGGAGGTGACAGCGGCGTTGGGAGTGGTGACAGGGGCGGAGGTGGCAGCGGAGGCGGAGGTGGTCGTGGCAGCGGCAGGGGTGGAGGTGGCCGGGGCGGAGGCGGAGGGGGTGGTGGTCGTGGAGGCCCGGGGGGCGGTCAGAGTCAGCAGCCTGCCCCGACCCTTCAGGCCGCTCGTGAGTGGTATGCGCGGCGCAGCGTCACCTGCCAGTATGTTATTCGTACAGGTGACCGCACTGGCCAGACGTGTGGGGGGCCGCACCAGACGGAGCGCTGCTTCGCCCGCCTCAACGATGCGTGGCGCACCCAGTTTCCTGGTGGGGGTGAGCTGCCGCGCTGGGCTGAGCTGCTCAGGAAGGGTGTTGATATTTGGGCACTAGACTTTGATGCTATTCTCACTGCCATGTATGCGATGTCTATTAGTGGAGAGGGTGCTCAGTACTTGCGTGTTCCGCCCGACCCGGGCATTCAGGCCAGCCCCGCTGCTGCTCTAGGTGCTAGTGTGTCTGCTTCCACAGGTACTACTGCAGCTGCTGCTCTAGGTGCTTGTGCGTCTGTGCCCCCTGGTACTGAGTCGACTGCAGCACTGCACACCTTCACACTGGACTCAGGTGCTTCTCGCTCTTTCTTTCGTGACCGCACTGTCCTTGAGCCTCTAGCTCGGCCGGTTGCTGTCTCTCTTGCTGACCCCTCTGGGGGTCCGGTCCTTGCGACCTCCTCCACCACCCTTCCGTGTCCAGCGGTTCCGTCCGGCACGCTCTCAGGTCTCTACCTCCCCTCGTTCTCCACGAACTTGGTGGCAGGTAGTGCGCTCCAGGACGGGGGTGTTCACCAGTTCCCTGTGTCTTTCTTGGCTTTGTTCCCGACGCGCCTGGATGGCAGTTTTACCACGTCACCTCGCGCCGGGTTCTGGCCTCTCAGGACGTCACTTTTGACGAGTCCGTCCCCTTCTACCGCCTCTTCCCCTACCGCACTGCCCCGCTCCCCCCCCCGCCTCTCTTCCTCGCTCCAGGTGCTGAGGTACCAGACCCCCTCCCCCCTCAGGGTGCCGCTCCCTCAGGTGTGTCCCAGGTAGACCCGGGTGAGCCTGTCGAGGTAGCTGTTGACTCGCGTCCTGCGTCTGGGGGTGCTGAGCCTGGGAGTGCTGCGTCTGAGGGTGCGGAGCCTGGGGGTGCGGAGCCTGGAGGTACGGAGCCTGGAGGTGCGGAGCCTGGAGGTACTGAGCCTGGGGGTGCTGAGCCTGGACGTGCTGAGACTGGGGGTGCTGAGCCTGGGGGTGCTGAGTCTGGGGGTGCTGAGCCTGAGCGTGCTCCACCTGGAGGAGCCCTCTCCTCCCAGCAGCTGCAGGAGAGGTACCTCGAGTACTGCCGCCTCCGGAGAGGTGCTTCTGGAGCTCGTCCCGGTACTTCCCCTCCTACCCAGGAGCTCCCCCCCATTCAGGTGATCCGCGAGTGGTACACGCGGCGCTGCAGTCTTCGTAGTGGTGCTCCTGGTGCTGCGGACCCGAGCGGTGGTGTTGTTGCTGGTGCTGAGGACCCGGACGCTGGAGCTGCTGCTGGTGCTGAGGACCCGGGGGCTGGAGCTGCTGCTGGTGCTGAGGACCCGGACGTTGGAGCTGCTGCTGGTGCTGAGGACCCGACCGGTGGCGCTGCTGCTGGTGCTGAGGACCTGACCAGTGGCCGTGCTGCTGGTGCTGAGGACCCGGGCGTTGGAGCTGCTGCTGGTGCTGAGGACCCGACCAGTGGTGCTGCTGCTGGTGCTGAGGACCCGGGGGCTGGAGCTACTGCTGGTGCTGAGGACCCGGACGTTGGAGCTGCTGCTGGTGCTGAGGACCCGACCGGTGGCGCTGCTGCTGGTGCTGAGGACCTGACCAGTGGCCTTGCTGCTGGTGCTGAGGACCCGGGCGTTGGAGCTGCTGCTGGTACTGAGGACTCGGGCGTTGGGGCTGCCACTGGTGTCCCTGCTGCTTCTGGAGACGCTGCGCGGCCGCGACCGTACTTCGTACCGCTCCTTCAGCAGGTTCTTGGTCAGGCTCCTCCTCCTAGTCCTCCTCCCTCCGTCGAGTGTCCTCTGCCTGTCCAGCCGCAGTCACAGTTACCGCCTGCCTCGCCTCTCCCTGCTCCCTCCCCTTACGCTGGTCCCACAGGAGGTCTTACAGAGCGTCGTGAGCCTGAGTCTCGTCCTGCGTCGCCTGTTCGTACTGCTCGCACTGGTCGTCGTGTCCCACGTGAGCGTCCTCCTCCTGTCCCTGGCACTCACTACATGACTCTGCGTCCCTCCACTGCTCCGCAGCGTGTCCCGCTGCCGTCTCCTCCTGCGTCCTCTCTTCCTACTCTTCCTGACCCGGAGTCTGACTCCCGTCGTGCTGCCAGTCCCACTGTTACGCGTCTCCTCGCTACAGTTGTCACTGACCCGACCTTTGAGTCCTCTGCTGCGTCTGCTCTGGTCGCTGAGTTGGTTGACTTTGCTGCTCGCTGTCGCCTAGACTACGCTGCCAGCCTTGTCGCTAGGTCTGAGTCTGCGTCTGCCTGTCCTCCGTCCGTCGGGGGTGAGTGTGCCCTCGGCACGGACGTCCTTGAGGACAGACAGGAGGAGTTCCACTGCCTTGCTGCTGCTTTGCCCCGTCTCGTGTCCTTGCTAGTTGCCCCTGAGGGAGACCCGGATGCACCAGACATCCCGACCCCACGCTCTTACGCTGAGGCGATGGCGGGTCCCTACTCCTCTCAGTGGCAGACAGCCATGGACGCAGAGATGGCCTCCTGGAAGTCCACAGGCACCTACGTAGACGAGGTTCCCCCTCCTGGGGCGAACATCGTCAGTGGCATGTGGATTTTCAGGGTGAAGCGGCCGCCGGGTTCTCCGCCTGTCTTCAAGGCGCGCTACGTGGCTCGAGGCTTCAGTCAGCGAGAGGGAGTAGACTTCTTTCAGACCTTCTCCCCCACCCCGAAGATGACTACTCTTCGGGTGCTGCTGCACATAGCCGCTCACCGCGACTACGAGCTTCACTCTCTTGACTTCAGCACTGCTTTCTTGCAGGGCAGCCTGCACGAGGAGATCTGGCTGCGCCGCCCCCCTGGCTTCACTGGGTCAGTTCCTCCTGGCACCCAGTGGAGGCTTCAGCGGCCGGTCTACGGTCTCCGCCAGGCGCCACGTGAGTGGCACGACACACTGAGGACGACACTTGCGGCTCTTGGGTTCGCTCCCTCTACTGCTGACCCGTCGCTGTTTCTACGCACCGACACCTCGCTGCCGCCGTTCTACATCCTCGTGTACGTCGACGACTTGGTCTTTGCCACTGCTGACACCGCGGCACTCGCTCACGTGAAGTCGGAGCTGCAGAGGAGACACACGTGCACAGACCTGGGTGAGCTGACGAGCTATCTTGGCTTGCGGATCACCCGGGACAGAGCACGGCGCACCATCACCCTGACTCAGTCACACATGGTGCAGCAGGTTCTCCAGCGCTTCCGCTTCACGTACTCCTCGCCTCAGTCCACTCCTCTGCCTACCGGTCACTCGCTCTCAGCTCTGCCTTCGGATGAGTCCGTAGAGCCGAGTGGCCCGTATCCAGAGCTTGTGGGCTGCCTCATGTACCTGATGACCTGCACTCGACCTGACCTTGCATACCCTCTTAGCATCCTAGCACGCTATGTCGCTCCTGGCCGTCACCGGAAGGAGCACATGGATGCTGCTAAGAGGGTGTTGCGCTACTTGTGCAGTACGTCGGGCATGGGGCTTGTGCTTGGAGGGCGAGACCGGGTTGTTCTCACAGGGCACTCAGACGCTTCTTGGGCAGACGACCAGGCTACTCAGCGGTCGTCCCAGGGTTACACCTTCAGCCTTGGCTCTGGCTCAGTTTCTTGGCGTTCTACTCGCTCTTCTTCTGTTCTCAGCTCCAGTTGTGAGGCTGAGATCTACGCCACAGCCATGGCTGCTCAGGAGCTACGCTGGCTGACCTACCTGCTGACCGACCTCGGAGAGCGGCCTCGTTCTCCTCCAGTGCTGTACGTCGACAACAAGGCTGCCATTACCTTGTGTGAGGAGCACAGACTGGAGCACAGAACGAAGCACATCGCTCTGCGGTACTTCCTTGCTCGAGAGCTGCAGCAGCGTGGTCAGCTTTGTCTGCGTTACGTGGCCACGGAGGCCAACACTGCTGATGTGTTCACCAAGGCGCTTCAGCCTTGTGACCATCAGCGCTTTTGCACTCTGCTAGGCCTTGTACCCACTGGGCCTCACTTGCTTACCTCTTGACCTTGCTTGTACTGTGATCACTATATATATATGCCTACTTGTTTACTTTTGCTAGGCTGTGATCACTGTATCTCTTGCTTTGTTATAAACCTGCATGTGAACTGGTCTTGTGACCGCTTGCTTGTGCTCGGAATTTGTGTGGAATCCTTGAGATCCACCCTGAGCTTACTTTGCTTTACTTTGACTGGTCTTGTGACCCTGTGGTTGTCTCCCACTGCGCCTATGGGGGTGTGTCAAACATTGCATGTTTATATTATGTAGGCTGTAGTGGGTTACACCTTAGGGGGTACTCAAAGTTAGGGTTTCCTACTTGTACCAAACTCTGTGCTAGTTCATTCATTCCTGCTCAGTTATTTCTGACAGACGAAACCAGGTATTACGTGCCCATAAAATCTTCGAGGGCGAACTCGCAGAAGTAGACCAGAAACCGAAACCAAAGTTGCCAAGTACTCGAACTGAAGCTTTTTGTCTTCACGTCGCCAGAATCGTGCAGTATCTGCAGCAGTTGCAACTGGCAGCACCTGACGTGGTTGAAATCAATGCAGTTGTCGTGGGCGGGTCGAGTGGATGGGTTTGTCGCTAGTAGAGTCGGAATGGAACCGTCCTGAAAACCTCTGGCCGTGAAATCAGGAGTGTTACGAGTGTCGTCGAAGTCGGCGATTGAAGGCGATTAAAGGCGAAGTTGTTTATCGAGAGTCGGCGATGGTCGTCGAAGCAGTAACCGTAGCGAATGTCACTCCGAAAAATATTGTCGAACACGAATCAGTTTTAGATGATGTCAGCACCTCCGGCGGGTTTGTCCATACTCGCCGAGCATGTTGTCGCAATCCGCCGATGACTCCCGGGCAGAGATGTAAAAATTACAGCTGTCTCTCCCCCCTTCCACTGTTGCTGCCGCCTCCTCCAGTTCGTCGTAAGTCGTTCATACCCCTTGAAAAGTCCGTGTAGTTCCCGCGCCGTTGCCCTGCGTAAATGTCGCGTGCGTTTAACCAAAACTCCGAAAAGTCTTCCGAAATTGTCGGCGCTTCCCGCCGTAAACTTGTAAGTCCCCACGTAAAACTCCGAAAATTTCGCTCAAAAACAACCCCGTAAAATTCGCCGTTGCAGTTGCAGTTCGCCTCCGAAATCTTCGTTCGTGCTATAGCCGCCCACTCGGTCACCATCAGTTTCCTTCGGTTTACCCGACCCCAGCATGTGGGTTAAATCGAGAACCGGGGACTGCCCTGGGTCTTCCGAGACCGAATTTCACGGAACCTAGAGGCATCAACGCCGTTGACCTCCGTAGTCGAAGCTGCTCCCGCCGATGTCGTTTAACAAAAACTCCCTGTTTCTCCCACCAGCGCTTTGCAGATGTTTCACTCATTGCTCGTCGCCGGCCGATAAGTTCCCGAAGCTACGACTGCTCCCACGCTTCCCTTTTTTGAAGAATTTCCCGAGGTGTGCGTTTAAACACCAAGGGTCCTAGGAATCCTTGCCGCTGTGTTTCTTGCCAGGCAACTTCGAAAAGCGCCCTTCAGGCGAAGTCCCCCAGCGACTCAACCGCACTCCAAGAAACGAAGAAACACCCTCAGCTTTTTTTTTTTTTTTGTCGTTTCACCCCCGAACATTCCACTTCCCGCCGTTCACCCAGCGTCCGCTTTTGTCGGATGGGGTATTGTCGGTGTTGCCCTGCGCGAACCCCAGCCACGGTGGAGAAGAAAAGACTATCGGAGTCGGGGTTGCCTTAGTTAAAAGGAAATCAGTCCCAACCGCTTCGCAGCCCACCGTGCCCGTCGCGCCACTAAAATTCCACAGCTTCCGGTCCCAGCTTCGCCGCTGCGCCGTCACCTCGTGTAGACGCCCGGGTCAGAGGAAACCTGTAAACTGCACCAGTGTTGTCCTGCGGCGCCCCGATTTTTTCGCGTGCTGTTTCACCCAGCCCGCTTTTGTCGGAGTAGAACAGTGCCGCAACTCCCCTTTTTTGTCTTTTCTGTACAGCTGTCGAACGGGCACCAAACCAGGTGCTTTTAACCAGCGCAGGGTAGGCTCGTGTTCACCCCCGTTATTCATCCGAATAAGGTCGACTGCATGAGTCGGAACCAGTAATCGGTGGGGATGGTGAGGTTCGGGCGAAGTAGGGCCGCAGATCGGTTCCACCGGCTTTTATCTGCTCCCCACGACGTTCTTCAACCCCCGCTTAGCCGTTGGGCAGTTTCTTCACGCGTGTCCCGGCGGCCTGCACCACACTCCGAAATTGTCGGGGTGGCACGTTGAACACCGTTTAATCGTGGGCTGTTGAACGGCTTCCTTGAACGGGGAAACCGATCTCGAAACTGTCGAACAGCTGGCAAGCAGCTCCAGGCACGCAGCAACAAACGAGTATTTCTCGGGTGTTCAGTCCCGATATGCCCTCGCGCCTGCGCCCCACTCCTGCTAAGTGCGATTTAGCCACGTCGTTGTCTGTTGCAGCCCGTAAGTGTCGGCGGGTCCAAAGTTCCCGTCTGTCCACAAGCACTTCTGCCGAAAATCGTCGACGACTCGCCCGCCAGTACGGTAAGCGCCGCACTATCCGGTCGGACGGGATAAAACTCAACCCCCGCATAATTCGGGCGGCTTGAGCGTCTATCTCTCCAGCCGTCGGGATCCTCTGACGCAAAACTCCATTTGCGCCTGGCGAGTCCTTCGAGCTGCCCTTTTCTTCACAGTAGAAACCTCCGAAATTGTCGCCCATGCTGACGCAGGCCCGTTGTCGCCAGCTGCCGAAGATTCTCCCGAGAATCTCGCGCACAAGATGACGGCTTGCCATCGACGTCACTTGCCGCGTAGGGACGACTCCGAAATCTTCGCGCAACTGTTGACGCAGATCCGCCAACGCCAGCTGCCACTCGTGATGACGACGTCGATGCTGTTCGTGCAGGTGCCGACGCAGGTCCGCTGACGCAGGCTGCCACACGAATCAAGCTCCGAAATGGTCGAAAATCGCAGCGGAAATTACTCACTTTAATGTCGCGACAGCTACTGCTGCCCGTCGCCCGGGGGGAGGGAGGTCATGGTCGATCGCGACCGTCGAGCTAAGGATCTGGCGGTGCCGAAGGAGTGCCCCGTAAAACCATGGCCGCGAAGAGCAACTAACTAGTTCTCTTGGCCGGCCTACGCAACTCCTGGACCCCAAGGCATCCTTACTCGTCCCCCCCCCCCCCCGAGGGGTATTACACTCTAAAAAGCGGGGTAGGCTAGGAAAGTAGCTCTGATACCAGGTGTTATGAATGAACTTGTCAGAGTGCGCGGATATCGAATAACGAGAATGAGAAATTACAGAATGATTGAACAATGAAGTAGCGAGGCCTAAATAGGGGAAAACCTAGCTAGGCGGGGGGTTCGGGATGGGATGGCTCGGTGATGGCCACGATTGGAGCGGAGGCCGACTCGGGGGTGGTTCGGTGCGACGAAATAGGCATCGCAGGTTCGTCGCGACACCCTCGGGATGTCCTCGCTAACAACTTACTACAGTAAGGAATTCTAATTCCTTACAGTTTGATCTCACGACCTTTTGATTACTCGACGAGATTCAATCGACTGGGCAAATTAGGCCGTCTATAATTAGCAACCGTAATATTTAGAACCGTCACTTAGCGACGAATCTGTTCATTGCCTAGGGTTTGATTCGTTCCTTTTTTTCTCTCCCTCGTCGCTGCTCCACCTACCTATGCCAAGGTGAGATTAATCTTACCTATCATCTAGAACTAAGTTAGGTGATTACGAATTAGACTAACACTTCTTAATCTTATCCTACTCGTTTACTCCAGTGTTGACCGTTTTGAAGAGATGCAAGTTGTTCATGCTTAGGTTCTAAGCTTGACGTAAGACTTGAGCTTTAGGTCGTTTGTGAGCCTGCGTGCGTTCTTTAGTTCCACATCGTCTTTTTCCTCCCATGCATCCTTGCTACCTCGAAATTGTGCATGTTCCTTGACTTTCTTCCTTCTTTCTCCTTATGTTCTTGCTATGTAGATTTGAACGCCTAACATCCTTTGCCTTAGCAGATAGCTCGTTTTTTACCATTTTGACTGAACAAACAGGTTGTTCATATTTTGTGCTCTTTCTTTACTCCCACCACCCCAATCTTGTCTTTTCCATTTCGTTTCTGAATTCTATCTACCATTCCGTTCACTTTCCGTTTCACTCAATCATGAGCTTCTCATCCAATGGGCGTTCTAATGCACGACCTAATTGTAGCTAGGTGAGTCTGTACTTCAATAAAAACTCCCTCACATCTAAATCTTCTACATGCATGTGAGGTTCGTTCCATGAATCTTCTTTTTCTTTCGCCTCTCATTTGATTCTAATATTCGGTCCTCTTTTCGTCGTGATCTTATTCTTAACCTTATTGCCTAGTCATAAACTTTTGTTTGTTTCCGTTCTGTTGCACTTCGTTTTCTTTCTCTGATCCTATTGATTTTGTATTTCTCCTCTTTCCATTTCCTTTCTTAAGCGTGTTCGTTCATCGATTCTTGTATTTTTGTTCCATCTTTACTGATTGCTGGAATTTGATATTCATTAGATGTTTCAGATCTGTTGAATACGTGAATAGCAAAAGTTGGCATGTATTGTGTCATTCCTAGATTTCTACGCATTTTTATGGCACAGTAAAGCATCTTATCCCTTTTGTTCTTCATTTGTCCATTCCTTTCCACTCCATCTCTCGTTCGCTCTCTTTCGTTCTCTCTCGCTCTCGTTCTCTCTTGCCCTCGTTCTCTCTCCCCCTTGTTCTCTCTCTCTCTCGTTCTCTCTCTCTCTCTCTCTCTCTCTCTCTCTCTCTCTCTCTCCTCTCTCTCTCTCTCTCTCTCTCTCTCTCTCTCTCTTGTCGAGAGAATTAGGCAAAAGAGAGAGAGTTGAACTAGCAAGAATGGGGATACAAATAGCAAACCCTAGAAGGGTTGTACTCGCTACAGAGCACCCCACTGCAGGCTAGACAAATATAACATTCTGACACACCCCCATAGCCAAAGTGGGGTGTAATCAGC